TGCAAATAAAGCTCAACGGGGAAGGCGATGGGCTGACATGCGTAGAATGTGCCCGAGCCAACGCATTCGACTTCGGAGAATAACCTTCTGAAGACTGGTACTACTCGCGCCAAGCACGCGGTCTCGCACATCTGAGTTGCTTACGTGGTGTCGCCACCACATTTGAGCAATCCTTCTTAGACAACGATTGTCGAAGACAGACAGCCGCTTCATATCTTCCGAGCGAATAGGCCAAGTCTCACAGCCGTACAAGAGTATTGCACGGACGGAAGCGTTGTAAACCCTGCCCTTGAGCTTGAAACTGAAAATACGACGACGCCATATGTGTCTCAGTTTGATGATTGTAAGACTGGCCTTTGCAATCCGCTGTGTGACTTCATCTCCAACACCGCCATCAGCCGTGATGCAACTCCCTAGATAAGTAAAGCAAGGGACTCGGTCCAGAACAAGTCCAGCAATGGTGAGCGTGGATTCATGCACCTGCCAGTCCTGGAGCAGCGTTTTACGTTTTCCCGGCGTGAAGCATAAGCCGTAGTTAGACGCCTCCATCGCCAAGCGGTGCAAAGCGCTCTGGACGGATTGTGGATCGTTCACCAGTAAGGCGATGTCATCGGTGTAGTCCAAGTCCGTAACTTTGTCTCCAGGAAGCCGCTCAACACCACAGTCCTGGACACTTTCCACTGCTTTTTGAAGAATATCTTCAATGGCGAAGCTAAAGAGGAAAGGTGAAATAGGGCAACCTTGGCGAACACCGCTGTCACAGTAAATGAAGAAGAGAGCGTGCCGTAAGACCTGTGTTTGCCCTACGTGTGATTGTAAAGTTCTTTCAGGATAGTTACAAACTTGTCGGGCACACCTTTCTTCAGTAAACAGTTCCACAACGCAGATCTATCTACTGAATCCAATACTGCTCGGATGTCCAAGAACACGACGATTGTTGGCCGCCTGTGGATGTGACGGAGTTCGAGTAGTTGGCGGAGCGTGAAGATTTGGTCGATGCAGCCGCGGCCTGGACAAATTCCGGCTTGTTCTTTTCGGGAAAACTCCTCACTAGTCATTGAAAGCCTATGAAGTAGGACCGACACGAAGATTTTTGATGAGACAGAGATTAATGAGATTCCGCGTTAGTTGCAGCATTCTTCGCGTGAGCTCTTCTTGTGAATCTGAAGAATGACCGATTCTCCCCATGAGTTCGGAACCTTCTCTTCAGTCCAAACTTTCGTGGACAGTGATGGGATTTCGCTGACCAGTACACTCCCGCCATCTGTGAATAGAGCCGGTTGTAGGTTATCGGGACCAGGAGCCTTGTGGCGTTTCAAAGATTGGATTGCATTTCGAAACTCTGCATCGTTTGGGGGGCTGTGGAGACAGTTCAAGCATCATCCGTTGGGGCAGGAGGTGTCAGATGGGGTTGTGTTAGGTGGCTGGATTGAAGAGCGAAATGCTCTGCCCAGTGACCCAATCGCCTGTGAAGGTTGGTGATCTCCGTGCCGTCTGATTCGCAAATCGTCTGGCTAATAGCGTGGAAATTGCAACCAGCGACCATGATGATGTAAAATAGACGGCGGTTGCCAGCTGATGCATCGGCTTGCATCTCATCAACTTGTTTTGATCACCAAGATTCACGATCAGGGCGAAGGCTTGTTTTCAGCTGCTGCGTAATAGACCGGCGATGTTTGTTGTACTCTGCGCCAGCATTCACAGGCCATCGCCGATCCAGCAATTCCGAGGATCTTCCTAAGATGCAGTTTTTGGGAATGGAGCTAGCGAGGCCACAGATAGGAAAATCGGCCAACAGCATAGCTCGTTGCAGACTTGACCATGGTTTTTCAACATTCAGATTGGGAGAGAGAGCGAGATTTTAACGAATCCTTTGTTGATACTGCTACTTCACCATTTTGTCCTCCAACTTGTAGGTGTTCAGTCGGATGTGTTTTGACCTAGGCGAACAACTGAAACGCATGCGTACGCGTACGCTGCCGCGCCACCTGCGACTTATGGTTATGTGGTCAATCTGTGACTAGCCCTAGGTTGATGATTGGGGACGCCAAGTGGCTTACTGGCGTCCATGATGCCGAAAGCTCGTGCTAGAGAAGAATAGTTGATGATCAGCACCAGACTGAGCAGTCACTTTCCATTTTCTGAGCGAATATCATCTTATCTATGCGGTCCCCCGAGGTGGCGCTCACATGGCAACAAACGACCGACACGCGCGTTGAATTCACCTGCCAAAACAATGATGTATGTTTTAGAAGGCCTTATGAGCAGCTCAGGAAGTTTCTGGTAGAACTGATCTTTGTCGGTGTCTGAGCTACAGTTAGTGGGCGCGTAGGCATGGATTACGGAAAGAGCACGCTTTTCGACTCGACGACTGCTAACTTTACAAGAGACAGGCAGCCTCATGGTACAAAGGCCGTTATTGATCGGAATACAATCAATCAAAGCAGTCTCGGCTCTGTCACTGAGGGCGACCCCAACACCAGCTTGCTCAGATGCCGCAGACTCAGCGTTACCAGCGAGGCGCAGAAAGAAGCCGGTGTGTGGGTGCAACAGTGACGCCAGCTGGTAAAACGAGTTAGAGTCCTGGAGTCGTGATTCATTCAGGCAGCAGATATGAATTCCAAGGGTCTCCGGCGTGCGTGCAAGTCCAGTTTGCTGAGTGCTCCGCAGTAATATGCGTACGTTGAAGGCTGCAATGTTTAACTGCGTTCCGGGTTGAAGGAGCGAAGATGGGAGACTTTGGAACCGGCAGCTCTCTTTGAGTACGGTGTGGTTGAGTTCACAGGAACAGGTTCACAGGAACAGGTTCATCAGTGTAGGTGGTGTTGATCGCCATAGAGGACTGAGGTAAAAATGGGTGTGAAGGGTACAAGGGAAGGGTAGGTGAAATGGTGGCGTGTGCTTGTGCAGTTGGCATAGTGACATGAGTGAATGGCATGGGAGTAGAAAGAGAGGGGGTGAATGGTTGTGGTTGTAAGTCCATGGTTCGTCAGTAGGCGAGATACTACCCGGTTGCCCAGGCCGAAGTAGTGGGTTGTCTTAGGGGGACCCCACCCCGAGCCTTTGATCAAGGATCTAACCTAAAAGGCAGCAGGGCGATATGAGGTTATCGCCACCTGTTGAAAGCCGGTGACCAAACGAGTGGTTCATACGCCTTTAGGTCCACCTAGGACCAGAAGCCCAACACGCACTTGAATTACAATGCCACTGAGAGACGGGCAAGGGGCAGTGACTTTATTTAATGGCGAGTCACATTCGCCACGTCACATTGTTGTTAAACGGACATATGTGGCTTTTTATGGGGAGGACGCTTGCCAGATGAAAACCCACCACGTCCTGTAACACTGCAGCCGAACCATTCGCTGGAACGGGATAATCTCGAACCCCCCAGCTGCCACCACAGGGCGGTTGTTCGGCAAGCCAGCCGGTACGCAGAACCGACTCTTTGCGAAACTGTACGCTATCGAGCGCGTGCCCAGTTTATGAATTGTGGAATGCTTTTCTTGTAGAGGTAACTGCGTATAGGTCACGTCTGCTTTGCATGCGAGATGAATAAGCAGTCGCGGACAACCAGCCACAGTGTCTCGGGGCGTGGATTTCTTGGTTGTTCATCTGGTTCTCTCTCAAGTACCACAAAACACGTACGGCGCTCTGTCAAAGCCAGCGTGACGGTCTATGGGGTCACTGATCACTCATTTCTGTAAGTGGAGGTGAGTAGTTAAAGGTGGGTAGATGAACAATGTTTCTAGCCATGGGCTTCTCTGTGAACTGCAACCGAACACAAATAAGGCGAATGAGCCACATAGCTGTCAAGGGTCTTCGTATGCGCCTCAGGTCGGAGTGGGGTCCTTTAAGTCAACCTTATTCCTGGGCCTGGGTAACCGCGAACCTCTGCTGCCCACACAACAAGTGGACATCCCATCCCTTTTCCTGACATTATTCCTACTCTTTATTATTGTTACTCATGTGTTGTGGCACTCCGTCATATGCTTAGTAGTCAAGTGTTGTATGCATATTATATGTACCTATATATATATATATATATATATATATTGTTAAGGTTTTCATCTCAGTAGTTCACAAGCTACATAGCAGAACCTAGTTCGGAAAACCGCCAGATGCTTTTCGCCTTATTGGAGCTCGTCAGTGGCGCGCATTCCCTCGGTCCTCTAAGGAGGATTGAACCCATGACCACTAGAGGCAGATACTATCTATCTTATATGGGAACATATGTAGAATAAAAAAGCTAAACGAGATTGCTGAAAGGAAAATTCAGGGGTACAAGCTTCTCGATCTGCGGTTTCCTTAACTATGTATAAACACACCACTCAGCGGTCACAACGAGACTGGACCTTAACGTGGTGCGACGGTTTGCGTACCTCATTGACCCATTGAGCTATATTGGGTGATGACTCCGGGCACCTTAAGAGCTACTCCTACCGGCGTTGGTCAATGGTGAGAGGTCAGACAAACTCAGTCTCCTGGTCCTCCAGGTTAGGGGTTTGAAATGGGATGGCGTACGTTTCAGTAAAACGAAATCATTGCCAGCTCCCCGCTGCCGTCTCCTAATCGGATTGCCTGTTTAAAGTGTGTTTGGTGCTGAGTTATCGGCAGGGTAATGACTGATTATGACGCGTGGCAGTGAAAGCCGCAAGGAAGCTGTCTCGCCGACGCCGCCTTATCTTTGCACGATAGTCAGCTGTTTGTGACTGTATGTTGTCTACACAAGGTGTAGGCGCATTGACGCTTAATGTTTGCTTAGGGCATTAAGGTTTTCAGGTAAGTCCCCCTTCTGTCCCTCTTCTAATTCCTTATTTCATAGGTCCTCACAGTTGTATGGCAGCGAAACATCAGTTCAAATGGCTGATGATGATGCACACCACTCAGATTACTGTCCTTGAAATAGAGACATAGGCTGCAGTCTGCATTGACTAACTTCATCCGTTCTTTGTTTTTGCACTATGAGAAACGGTAAACATACGCTTCTGTACTTTCGCTAGATTTGTCATTCAATCGGATTGAAAAGATTGAAAACCTGGACAACTTAGTAAAACTTGAAGACCTAAGTTTGTTTAACAACAAGATTTCGAAACTCGAGGGTTTGGAATCCCTTAAGAAGTTGAAATTTCTGTCTCTCGGGAGGAATCGTCTAGATGATTTGGAAGAAGTGTGCTTATCTTGCATTTCGGCCAATGGTTCATCAACCTTCTAGGTTATCTACCTACGCCAATTTGAAAACCTTCAGTCGCTTACACTGGAAGGAAATCCTTTAACCAACGACCAGAATTATAGACAATACGTCTGTGCGTTTTTGTCAGAACTACAATATTTGGATTATCAAAGAATTTTGGATGATATGGTAAGTCAGTTACATAGAGGAAGGAAACTGTCACATGGTAGCATTAGAGTAGCTTTCTAACATCTTAAGTATTAAACTACCCTAGTCACGTAAATAGCCCGATATTCACAGCTTAGGCTCTAAGCAGAACTTAAATTTGTTTGAATTTACTTATTATTCGTCACTGAGCGGAAAACGTAACTTGCCAGCCAAAGCCAATACGTACGGAAAAAGTGCACACGGCCAAATGCCTTAGTTGTTCATGTAAAGAAATTTGATGGCTTAATAGTTGTGGACATCTTTATATGTTGCCAATCTGCGTTGCGCCGAATCCATATGCCTTTCTTTGTGGGCCCCATGGGATGACTGCTTGGCTCTCATGATCCGAAACTCCTGGTCACTTAAGTTGTAAACGCACATCAAGACGGGAAGCTTTGTCGAAGGTAATCATTTCAAGCTAAATCAATACCAGGCTTTATTCTGGATGATGCTAGTGGATAAGCGACGTTCAAGCAATTCAGGCGCAAAGAGCAAACGCAAGAAGGCTTGGAACAATTTGGTGCTCCATCCAATCAGGCTGAGTACTATAGCGTTATGCGAAAGCAGCAATGTAAAGTTGGTAGTCGAGCTGGAGAGAGATTTACACCAACCTCTGATTGATTTTCAGTATTGATGTAGTCCAGAATATATATATATATATATGTATATATATGTATATAGAAAGAGAGAGAGGCTTGCTTGTGCCTGTCGTATGAAAACCAAAGTGACAGACAAATCCGGAACCGGATGCCGCCAAGCATGTATAGGCTTGAGAATTCCAGTAACAATTAGTGGGTACGGAATACTCTGTTTCTGAAGCAAGTGAAAATTTAAATCTGTACAACTTCATCACGGCGCGAGTGAACAATATTATCCACATCCGCCATAGCCATGCCTATCTCTACAAACTTGAAACGCGCAATCTGTAGGCAGGCCGTCAGTAACGGGACCTAAGTGTGCTAGCACAGGATGACCTCGGTTATTCCAGACAGTCAAAATCCGCTTCAAATAGAGGTAACCTGCATGTTGGTCTCTAGCGGAGGGCATCCGGGAGTCTGGACTCATCCATCTCCAACAGATGCTCAATGCCTACGTGCGTCCCCACGTCGAATACTCAATCCATACTTGCCACACTCGATTAAAGCGTGATTTTGAAGCGCCCGAAACTGTCCAACATCGAGCAACAAAATTTGTCAAGCCTTTGTGCAACCTTCCCTACCAGCAACGATTGAAGACACTCGGAGTGTTCAGTGGACGCTACAGGCGGCTACGTGGAAAACTTATATCTGTCTTCCAGATACTGAGAGACCCTAATCATGTGTGGTGCCACCTACTGGAACTCAGCCCTAACACCAATCACAAAGACAATCACCTGAAACGGAATCAACAAGGCAGTCGTCTCGATTGTTGACGAAATTACTTCCCCCTCTGGATCTGCCAACCCTGGAACGCCCATCCAAACTCAGTCGTCGGTGCCCTCATATTAACTATGCTCAAAAAAGCGATTGGATATCGAATTGAAAACTCTACACTTTCTTACTTGAAAGCATATTCTGGATTTATTTTGGCCAACTAGGCACGTTATAATTGTGACCCAGAGTGCCACACATAAGTCTGTGCAGTGGGCGTGAGCAATCTGCTTCTTACTTGCTATGTGTGTCACAGCTTTTATTTGGTTTTGTCTGTACTACCTCACTCCCATAAGCATCCACTCTATACGCAATTATTCTATCGCTTTATCCATGCGTATTTTTATTTGATACACATATGTAATATTTAAGTCTCAATCTCTTCTATTACCAACCAACGGTACATGTTACTTCTGTGACGTTAGTACCCGTTATAGACCATTGGTTCCATAGTTCTAACACATAGGTCCTTCACATAAGGTGTGAAATGTAACGGTTGGTTGTTGAGGATCTAATTCCGTCCAACACCCTTTCTACCCTTTCCTATGGTTAGGTTGACCTGAAAACGGACTTCTGCAGACCACATGGAAAAGCGGTTGAGGCCTTGCTAAAAAAGACCGCAGAAGTTGTAGTGTTAAGTACCCTCCGCATCGTCAGATTGTCTGTAAACAGGACAAATGGTCAACTAAGAGGCTGAATCAAATATTTGATGTAGATCAAGGGCAGATCGGACCCAAGCACCATGCAGTTGGTTACACCATTAGTCAAATTATGCCAGTCAGTTAAATAGCCGTCGACCGGCAACCTGCATTTTCACCTAACGAGAACCACTTAAATTCACTTTTAAAGTGACCCACGAAAAGCCCACACTTTCAGTTTGTGGAGGAGGACCTCATGGGTTGCCTTGTGGAAAGCTTTGCTGAAATCGATGTTGGATACGTCAACAGACTTCCTCTACAACCATTCATGTCTCGTCACCAGTAGGTTGGCAATGCATCAGCAACCTGGCATAAAACTGTATTGTTGAGCGTCAATAAATCTTTTAATTGCAACCGCTGTAGGGCAGCATCCTTCCCGATCTTCTAACCAAATCTGGCCTAAATAGTTTCAAACAAATCAGCCTATAGTTGTCTATTTTACCAGGGCAACTGTCTTTCAGAATGGTCTTTGCAACTGCGCATTTCCAGTCGATCAACAATGAACCTTCTGAATGAGTCCTGTTGCAGGTATCACTCAGAAAAACTGAGAAACTAGTCGATAGGAACTTGCGGATTAGTGGTTGGAGTTCACCATGTCCAGCAAGGTTGGTGTCACTTATGAAAATTAATTTTCTGCGTGATTACTACTTATTGTCTGGAGCCAAATGGCAAGTAAACGGTGAAATTAAATAAAAGTTTATCCGGATTTTACATTTTCGTCTAAATTAAGCATTTGTATGGTGAAATAATCGAAAAAACTGGGTATATTTTGTTATTACTCTTTTATTCAACATTTTTGTTTACGTGTGTTTTGCTTATCTTAGATGTATGTCAACATATATTTTATTATATTGACTTGCTCCTATCTGATTAACTTGGAAACGACTGTTCACACTGAGTATCAACAGTGATGTCAACAGTACCTATCTCAGCAACTCTGCTTCGCGAAGTTGCAACGGTTTTCGATGGAGACAGACCAGGTCATATTTACTCTGCTCGTTAACACGCAAGCCAAACTAATAAATAATGGGAGATTCATTGCAAGCAGTCACGTAGCTAATATGTCGGAAAGCATTGCGTAGCAACACACTACTTCCGAAGAAATTTAGACCATTTACTTAGGATATCAACATGAGAAGGAAACGGAAAAAGAAAGATCTAATTTGAGATCCCGTATGTTTTTGTGTTGTTGTTCCGGTGCACCGCTGTTATCATCACAAGTCAAGAAGCTGACTGGTTAGTTGTAAATACTGCAAGAGTGCCGGGTTTGGTAGTTCTGTCGATTAGTTCTGTATTACGATATATGATGAAAAGCGTATGAAGCAGTTGAACTAAGTTTGTGTGCCCTCTGATTTTTGCCAAAATCAACAAAATTTGTTTCAAGTAATTACGGCCAATGTTGGTTTGCAACAAGCATATATTTCCATTCCAATTAAAAAATCATGACCACATGAGTGATCGGTTAAGGATTCTTTTCGAATAAACTCTTATCGGACCCTAACGTTTACACGGCAGAGATAAGATGTTGTTAGCTTCAAATTGGGCTTGGAAATTGGTTATTGGGTTGTTTGATTTACTCTATGCATTTAATTGTTAAGGGACACGTTACCTAAACTTCGAAGCAATAGCAAGTCAAGCGGAGTGAAATAGACATATAAATCTTTGTCAGCTAAACACTGGAAAATCTGGCAAAGTTAAAGGCAGTATTTTATATCAGTTAGACTCACTCAGTTACACAGCATATGCTCGGAAAGCACTGTACGTGGGTCTTATCCTTTCGGGAATCGTCGGCAGTACGCGTCCCATCTGACCCTTATAGGGCTCGAATCCGCAACTCGGCTATCGCTAGACTGTAGTTGAAACCATTGGGCTACGGGAGAAGAGAACGACCGTCTTGACTAACTTACTATATATGATATAGCGCCGCGCACTATGCAGTGCTTTACACTAGGGATATCCAGTTTTAGCAAGTTGGGCCACATTTTGTGAGATAAAAATATGTCCGGCCATGATCAGTCTGATATTAAGATAATAAGCAAAAATGGCATATTGTGTAATTTTAGCTACAAGGTTTTAATGTGTATGATGAAAATGGGATCAGGAGATCTTTTGCATTTTTTGTTTTAGTTAAGAGCCCTTCATTAAAATTACTTGCTTGACTTCCTAGCTGGTTAGAAATAAACAATACTACGTCAATGATTTCGACGGTATCTACCGGCATCAAATTTTGCACTCATAACCCTTGATTTTTTGTAATCTACATAAGGTCGTCTGTAAGGAAAAATACGGGCTTGAAATTATTATTGCATGATGAGGCCACTGGCCAGTTGAAATTTTAACGAAAGCTGCATTTGCCCCGAGGGCCGGACTTTGGACATCTCTGACGTACACGCTACTGCCGTGCAGAGGACACCGAAGTTAGGCTGCCACTTAACCTATGGCATAATAAACAGTTTGGTCTAAGTACTGATTACAGAGGAGTAGTAGGGGAGTTGAATGGTATAGCTAGATATTCCTCACATAAAGTCTCAGTCAGACAGCCATCTTACACACGGAAAACTACCGTTTCACACAGCAGACCTCCCAGCGTGAAAACACCGGTGTTGACGGCTGAGAAAAAGAATGTTTATTTGTTCTTGCCGTTCAAGGGGGACCATGTGGCAAATGACATCGGACGCAAGCTCCGGTCCGCCCTAACGCGAACCTACACGACAGCCCAGTTGCGACTCAGGCATACCACGCGAGCACTTGTTCTTCATAACCGTCAGAGCATCTCGTCGGGTAGTTCGGCCTCTCACGTTGTTTATCAGTTCACCTGCGGTTGCGGTGACATTTACATAGGCAGAACAAACCGTCAGTTAGCTCAGAGGGTAGC